AAGGAGGAGGTGTATGGATCCTGGCCCTGCCTCCTAGAAACTTTTAGACTGTAAGGAATTTTAAGTGACATACACAAGACACCACCAGAAATAAAGGGAAAATCAATTTCAGCTGTGCATCACTGTGGGCTGTAAGTGCTAGTGGGAAGAGGAGGAAAGTTGGAGATGGGGATCAGTAAGTATGGCTTAGGCAAGGCTTCCTAGATGCAGAGGAAAGTTATAGAATAGGGTTGAGCAGAGCTAGAGGGTCAAGATAAACAAAAAAGGGTGAGGAGAGCTTCCATGGTAGGACAGCAACTTACCCAGTACAAAGTCTTATCCCAGAAAGGGTAACAGAAAGGGTAAGTCAGGATGTAAGGAGGTGATGAGCCTGAGGTTAGGGGGAGAATTAGAGCAGGACTCTGACAGCTGGGTCAGAGAGTCTGGACTGAATATAAAGTATTGGACTAATAGCAGACTATTGTACAGGGAAAGGGCATTTATAAACATGGAGTTTAGGGTAATGTTTCTCTGTGCTGTAATAAGTTGGGTTTGTGGTAGACTCTCTCAGGATTCCCAATCCATGGGTTTGCTTTCTCTTCTATAAGTTTGGTTTGTTCATTTGTTTGTTCTGCTTGCTTCTGTTGAAGTAAAAAAAGACATGATTATTTCATTCCCAGATGTTTTGTTCTGTGGGTTATTTCTCTGGATCATCATAGTTTGTCTTTAGCCCACTTTCCCTCATCTTCAGTAAAGGTGGGAGGAACGTAAGGACCATTCTGTACAACAAAGTTGAGAGAAACAGAAGGAATCAAAAGCATTAGCCATCTCCGAACCTGCCATTGGGATGGTCCTCTGGGATTCCTCCTCAGGGCCCATGGATGGACATCAAAGAGTGTAGGACATTATTTGAGGTGACCAACCTCAGAGGGCTCTGTGATTCAACAAATGTGAATAACCACTGTCATGTCTTTGTGGGGAGGTAGTTGGCTGGAGGTCATTCCTCAGAGGGAGTAACATGATACAAGCATCCTTAGTGCTCAGTAAGAAACAGACACAGTGAAAGGACATGAAGGGAAAAGAGGAATTGGGAAAGGGAGATGGGTTCAGAGAGAACTGGTGGGAGGGGTGCCTCATCTTCCCTTGTTCTCCACCTTCTTTCTAGCACGTAGTCTTTCCTTACATTCTCCATGTCCTGACGATTATAGGACCTTTCAATTAAAATCTGTTGAGTGCCTGACAAAAACTGTCAGGCTCTAAACCCTGTAATCTCACATTTTCTCATGCAATCCCTTTGTTGAACTTGTAGTACAGAGTGGAGTCAACAGCTCCCTCAGTCATGGACTGTTAGCCCTCTTGCTTCCTGTCAGACCCCTTTTCAATGCATTTTATTTCCCCCTTTCATCCTTATCTCTGTTCTTACTTCCCTTCCTCACAGTGGGAGGGGGAGAGCACTTACTTTCCTGTATTTAACAAATGATCTTCCAGTCTATGCTTTACATGTATCCATCTACTCAACAACTACAGTGCTGTATGCATTCTTAATTCCACTAAGATTGTGCTTCAGGATGGTGGTCTCAGTTAATCTCCCAAGAGCAATACATTATAATTTGTATCTTTTCACAGAATTATCATACTGATCCAGTAAGGGAAGTAAACTAAGGTTCCTTATGGATGAGGGAACTGAGTCTTAGAGATATTAAACAAATTACCATAGTGTATATAGGGATAAGCACAAGAGCCAGTGCTCATATCCAAAATCTCTCACATAATGTTCAACACTTTTAACATTGTAGTACCTAGCACTGCCTCTTACAGAAGATGAGGCATTTGCCTCATTGTGTATTATTATTATTATTATTACTATTACTATTATTTAATATTTGAGCCTTGGATATTTGGAAGCCTAGGACCCCCAAGGGTTTAGCACCAGCATGTATGAAGGTGTGTAATTAGAGTCCTTAGAGTTTCAAAGTGAATTATATGGAATAAAACTGTTTTCATTGTTTCATGAGGTCTAGCTAACAAGCTTGAGTTTCAATGGGTGATTTTGAGGCTAGACATTTATAAAGACTAATTTTCAAAGTTTGGGAGCTGTGGATGAGATTTCGATATTAAGTATTAGGTAGATTATATTAAGGATTTATTATCTAGTTACTGAGGAAAGCAGTTTACAGGCATCATTTCACTAACTCATGACAACAACTCTATGAAGTATTTACTTTTATTCCCATTGACTATTGTGAAAACTAACACACTGAGAGGTGAGCTAATTTGTGCAGTCACCCAACTATGAGATTGAGTTGTGATTTGAACCTGAACCATCTACCTGCAGAGCCTTACTCTTGACTACTAAACTGTGCTGCCTTCCTGTGAAGGAAGTTTTACAATCTGTTTGTTTTGAAATTGACGATAATTTCTTGTCATTTGGGGTGGTTTAGAGCCGTCATGGGAAGTACATGGCTAGTTGTGTAAGAATTCCAGAAGGAGAGGATCTGAAGTTTGAAAGTGTCCCCAGCTGTCTTTATTATGCCTTTCTGTGTCCCTTGAAGTGAGACCTCTGCCTTAGGACATACTACCTAGATTGTAGGGCCTGAGTATGATGTCTTCAAAAAGTAAGGATTCTTTAGCTGGGTATGGGTGGTTCATTGCATATAACCCAAGGCAGCCTGATAGTTTAAAAACAAATGTCCTCAAAGGGAAACAATTCTTTATCACCCCTGTGTGGATCATACTTACCATGAATTATCTGTGGTCAAAGTTTTATCACAGTTGGTTTTCCTTCCACACTTTACATTTTGCTTTCCTTCTACAGGGAAGATAATATCATTTATATATTTATGTGAGCTAGGTTTATAAAGATTGCTTGGCTACAAAGTATGTACTCAAAATCAAGTAGATAAGAATATTTGATTATGTGCTCTTTTCAGGTTTCTCTTCTCAGTTTGTAGATTGTTCCAAAAATATTTTTTGTGCACCTAACTCACAGTCAAATGGAAGAGACTGGCAACTGACCTAAAATTTTGATACATTAGGATAAATGGCACATGGGGCAAGCCAGGTGCTAGGAAAGCACACAGTATGGGCAGCATAAGTGTCAAGGGAGGCTTCCAAGAGAAGTGGGGGTTACTTATGTGAAGGGGACAAGGGTGAATTAGAGGCAAGGGAATGGAGTGAGTGTAGAATTTCACATGTGGATGCAGGAACTGGGTAGGGGATGAGGTTGGAGGAATTAGTACAGGTTTTCTATGAAGAAAGGGCATTGGTGAACCACTGAAGGTTTTGAAGCCTGGGGTGGATGGAGACACATCAATCATATTCATTGTATAGAAAGTTTCATGAGTTACTTGACCTTCCTTATTGGTTAGATGTGCTTTTTGGTACATCATAACATTGGATTTGGTGAATGGCAAATAAGGAGTCTAGATGGATTTGTAGATGGAAATCCAACCAGTACCCAAGGGTACCTTCTGATAATCTATTACAAAGATTTTTCAATTTTGACTTGATGATTCTATCTTTACAAACCTCTGACAACATTTGCTAAAAATTCTCTCAAAACCAAAGCCTGAGTAGGGAGGAGAGTGGGGGATGCATGACTTTGTGTTCTCTCTTTTCCATTATTTTCTGGGACATTGCTGTGAATTTTTCACCCAAACCTTACTCCCTTTGAAGAGGGCCATTCAAATAGCCACAAGGAAGGAAGGGGAAAAGAAGAATCACCTGTGGTGTACATTAATTAAAAAATATACTTAGTATAGCAAACAATGGTTTGTGGGAGTTAAAAATAACTCCTTGTGAAAGATTAATAGGGAGTTACAGTGAGTGTTTTAATGCAAGCTCACAGAGCAGGGCAGATTCCCAGGCTGCTGAAAACTAACATCACAGACGGTGCTGGGTATTTATAGAGCACAGTGTGGCCACTGAAGAGAACCATCTGCAGAAATGAGCTCACCTTCTCTCCTAGAAGCTAGAGAAGGAGGAAACAGAAGGAATTGTTCTGGTTGTGAGCTACTGAGCTAAGTAACATTTCTTATCTCTCTACCCATACATATACTCTCTTAACTGTGGGCATGAAACATGTAAATTTTTGCTTGGTCATTTTGGGTGAGGTTTAGTGAATGTCAGAATTCACAAAATGCCCTTTCTGTATCTTCTCTCTTCTTAATAATGGATCGTTGGTTGGTTATTTCACCCACTTCCCCAGTGTTTCCTCACCAGACACTCTGTTTCTCTCCTTACTGGTAATTATGAAGGCCCTACCCCTTTCTCCTCTTCCTCTCTTCTCACAGCACCCCCTGTGGGCCTAGGTGGGTAAAGCAAAAAGGTTTAACTGTACATTCTTTGCCATCAGTATAGCTAAATGAAGGATACAGAATGAGGAGAAAGGGGGTCATAGTGAAATCCGACCTTGGCTAGCTGATTTGGGGGCTAAGGATTTTAAGACTGGGGGACCAATATTTGTATTTTAAATTCAGATGATAATTAAAATATCATTCTATAACTGCAATGAGGCCCTCTCTTCTGTGTGAGGGCCTGTGTTTACACCTACATCCATGGTGTAAATTATTGCATGATAAATTTAAGCCCTGTTGTGTCTTAATTAGTACATGAAATTACAGGAGTTAATTGAACCATGTGAGATTATGCCATATGGTGTGTAAATAAAGGAGAGTTTCAGCAAGTACTTTGCAGTTTTTCAGGGGAGAAAGCAGGGTTGACTTTTTTTTATGATGTTTTTAGGTGTCAGTTTCTGTATATGTACCCAACAAGTGATATTGGACTTCTGAGCTTTTTTTGGCTGAACACCATTGTTCAGTATGTATTTATTGTTTATTTAGGCATTATGGAGGGATAACAGACACCAGAAGAAATACAAAGCAGCATCTTTGAAGACTGAGCAATGGACTGCATCAGCCCCAACTCAACTTAGCTTAACTCAGCTTCACCAAACCTGATCTCAGACTGCATGGGCTTGATACAGCAGTCTAATCCTAGAATCTTCTTCAATTCCAGCTAGAATGGTGTATCAGACACTTCGCAAACTTGTTCAAAAGCTGGTACGCAGGCGTATGCCCACAGAGCATGGGATTCAAGTTAACATAAACCTGAGCACTCTGGATTTAGTGGCCCTGGGTGTGGGCCGCACAGTGGGTATAGGTGGGTATGTCCTGGTTGTTGTGGCCAGCAGTCAAGCAGGACCATCCATTCTGATCTGCTTTTTGGTGGCCGGTCTCTCTTCTGTGTTGGCCGGGCTGTGCTATGCAGAGATGAATGCTCAATTTCCCCGTTCAGGCTCTGCATATCTCTACAGCTTTGTCACTATAGGTGAATTCTGGGCTTTCATCTGTGGCTGGAACCTTATCCTCTCCTTCGTTGCTGATACAGCCATTGTGGCCTGTGCCTGGACCTTAGCTTTTGCCAACCTCCTTGGAAACCAGATCTCTCAGCCCCTAAATGAGAGCATCTCACCTCATGTTCCCCAAGTACTTACAGAATATCTAGGCTTCATTGTTGTGGGCCTTATGTTGTTGCTTATTGAATTGCAGACTCTGCCATTTGATAATTTTTTCCTGGTTGCCAAAGTGATTGTATTGGTGAAACTTTTAGTTCTTGGTTTTGTCATCATCTCAGGCTTCATTAAGGGGGACCTGCACAACTGGAAGCTCACAGAAGAGGACTACATAAAGGCAGGACTCAATGACACGTCTACCTTGGGCCCTCTGGGCTCTGGAGGATTTGTGCCATTTGGCTTCAAAGGGATTCTCCGTGGAGCAGCTACCTGTTTCTATGCATTTATAGGTTTCAGCATCATTCTTACACCAGTCAAGAAAGAGAAGAATTCCCAGTGTTCCATCCCCATGGGCATTATGATTTCACTGTTCATCTGCTTTGTACTGTATTTTGGTGTCTCTGCGGCACTTACACTTATGGTGCCTTACTACAAGCTTCAACCTGGGAGCATCTTGCCTGAGGCATTTCTCCTTATTGGTTGGGCCCCTGCCTACTATGTTGTATCTTTTGGATTTTTCTGTAGTCTTTCTGCAAGCCTGTTGAGCTTTATGTTCCCCATTCGTCGGTTGATACACATGATGGCAAAGGATGACCTCCTGTTCCCTGTCCTTACCAGGATTCGTATCGGCTCATATTCCCGCATCATGGCTTCTGTGATATTTAGTATTATTGCAGCAAACATGGCATTCTTCTTGGGACTCACTGATCTTGTGGACCTCAGGTCACTTGAATCTCTGCTAGCTTACTCCATGGTTGCTCTTTGTGTTCTCATCCTCCGATATCAGCCTGAGGTGCAGAAAGAGGGAAATGAAGCAGAGGTGCAGGAGGGCAATAGAACTGCAGCAGAGATGCTGACTCTACAGAGACTATTTTTTCCAGGCAGTTACACCCCCACTTCACTTTCTGGCCGAGTTGTCTATGTTTGCTCCTCACTGCTTGTTCTGCTGATCATTCTTCTTTGCCTGGTGCTTACCCAGTGGCCAGTTCTGCTTTCTGGAGACCCAGTGTGGATTTCAGTGGTTGTGGTGCTCCTGGTGCTCATCACTGGGCTCACTGGGGTCATCTGGAGACAGCCACAGAGGTCCAGTCCCCCTCCTTTTAAAGTGCCTGCTCTGCCTCTCCTCCCACTACTAAGCATCTTTGTGAATGTTTACCTGATGATGCAGATGACAGCTCTCACCTGGGCCCGATTTGGTATCTGGATGCTGATTGGGTTTGCTATCTACTTCAGCTATGGGATCCAGCACAGCCTGGTCTCTTAACCCCACTTAAGTTAAGGCCAAAACTGTAGACCTTGAACTCAGCAATGCCAGCACATATTCTGTTTCATATCATAAACACCTGAATGCAGTGTGGTCCCTTTGCATGATAATGGGTAGTACTTTTGAGCACATAGAAAGTTAGCTCTCCCATGGGATGTTGATGTGGGAGAACATTAATAGAGCTCTTCATTTACTGTGGGATGATGGATGTGGCTTTGCTCTTTCTCCTTTATTATTTCTTACTTGTGTATTTTTAATTGTGTCTATAGCTGTTTACTGGATTTAAAAAATTATTATTGAAGAAAACTAGGGGTACCTGGGTGTATCAGTCAGTTAAGCATCCAACTTTGGTTCAGGTCATAATTTCACAGTCTGTGTGTTCAAGCCCTACGTCAAGTCTATGCTGAAAGCTCAGGGCCTGGAGCCTGTTTCAGATTCTGTGTGTGTCTCTCTGCTCCTCCCCACTTGTACTCTCTCTCTATAAAACACAAATAAACATTAAAAATTTTTTAAATAAAAATTATTTTTATTTTATTTGATTAAATATTCAGTAGCTGGGCGAAGGGCACCTGGTTGGCTCAGTCAGTAGAGCATGCAACTCTTGGTTTCGCAGTGGCGAGATTAAGCTCCAAACTGAGTATAGCGATTACTTAAAAACATATTCAGTAGTAGAATTTTAATTTTATGTATGTATTTTAATTTTTTAAGGAATCTCCATACAGCTTTCCATTGTAGCTGTACCAATTTACATTCCCACCAACAATGCTTGAGGGTTCCTTTCCCTCCATTTCCTCATCAATACTTGTTATTTTGTATTTTTTATTTTATCCATTCTTCTAGGTGTAAAGTTATGTCTCATTATATTTTTAATTTACATCGTCCTGATAATTAGTGATACTAGCATCTTTTCTTATGTCTTTGGTCATCTATTTCTTCTTCGGAAAAATTAAATTCATGTTATATACTGATATTTCTTTTTAATTTGGATTTCTTAATTGGATTATTTGGGGTTTTTTTTGGGTGTTGAATAGTATAAGATATTTATGTATTTTGGGTTAAACTTTTTCTTGATATATCATTTGGAAAATCTTCTCCCATTAAATAGGTTGCCTTTTGGTTTTGTTGATGTTTTCATATCTGTTGCAAAAGCTTTTTATTTACATGAATTTGAAAAGATATATGCACCTCCATGTTTATTGCAACATTATATACAAAAACCAGGAAACAAAAGCAACCAGTGTATTGAAGTATCCGTCGATATATGAATGGATCAAGATGTGATACACACACACACATACACACAAACACACTGACAGTGGAATATTACTTGGCCACTAAAAGGAATATAATCTCGCCATTTGTCACAACATGGGGGACCTACAGAGTATAATGCTAAATTAAATAAGTCAATCAGAGAAACAAATAACTTATGTTTTAAATTTTACGTGGAACTTAAGAAATAAAACAAACTTTAAGGAAAAAGAGAAACAAAACAAACAAAAAATCCACCTCAGACTCCTAAGTACTGGGGAAAAAACTAGTTGTTGCCAAAAGGGGGTAAGCAGGAGAATATGTGAAATAGATAAGGGGAATTAAGAGCACACTTATCTTGATAAGCACTAAGAAATATGTAGAATTGTTGAATAATTATACAGTAACCTGGAGTAATACAATAACCCTGTATATTAGAAATAAAAGACCTAGAAAAAAACTGAAATGAAAAAGATAAAATATGGGCTAGGGACAAGATGCTGGAGTAGTAGGGAGCTCCGTACATTGCAATCATCCCCATATCTCACAAAGAAAATATCTGAAGCCATAGGAAACATTGCAGAACCCAAGAGATTGGGAGAAAAAGGACGCAGAATCCACTGAGAAAGGCTTCTAATGGCAACCTCAAGAAACAAGCCAAAGTACACAAGGAAGGGAGTCCTAAATATCACTACGATTAGGAAAATAAAATAACCAAGGTCTCAACAAGAGAGACCAAGAGATACCATTCAAAAAACACTCTCTGAAAGGATAGGCCCTGGACAAAGAGACTTCTTGGGTACAGCAGCGCTCACAGGTACAGAGAGCATAACAAGTCTTTAAAACTAACAAAAGACAGAGCAAACTAAAATGACGAAATGAAAGAGCTCTCCTCCAAAGAAATTCCAAGAAGAATTGCAGCTAATGAACAGCTCAAAACAGATATCAGCAGCATAACTGAACAAGATTTTAGAACAATAAGCATAAAATTAATAGCTGGGCTTGAAAAAAGCATAGGGGACATCAAAGAAACTATGGCTATAAACAACATGGAGAATAAAAATAGACATGATGAATTAAAAAATGCAAAAATTAGATATATAATAAATTGGAGGCCTCGAATGCACAGATTGAAGAGGCAGAAAGGAGAGTAAGTGATTTAGAACACACCATTATAGAAAGAGAGGAAACTGAGGAAAAAAAAGAGACAAACTGATCCAGGAACAGGAAAGAAGAGTTCGAGAACTCAGAGATATGGTCAAATGCAACAATATCCGTATCATAGGAATCCCAGAAGAGGAAGAGAGAGGGAAAGGTGCTGAAGGAGTCCTGGAACAAATTATAGCAGAGAACTTCCCCAAACTGGGGAAGGAAGTAAACGTTGAAATACAAGAGGCACAGAGGACTCCCCTCAGACGTAATTTGAATCGATCCTCTGCATGGCATATCAGAGTAAAAATGGCAAAATATAAGGACAAAGAAAGAATTGTGAAAACAGCAAGGGAGAAAAGGGCCCTAACATACAAAGGCAAACTTATCAGAGTGGTGACAGACCTATCTACTGAAACTTGGCAGGCCAGAAAGGAATGACAGGAGATCCTCAATATGATTAACAGAAAAAAATATACAGCAAAGAATCCTCTATCCAGAAAGTCTGTCATTCAAAAAAAAGGAGTGATAAAAGTCTTTCCAAATAAACAGAAATTGAAAGAATTTGCCACCACTAAGCCAGCCCTACAAGAAAACCGAGGGGGACGCTCTGAAGGAAATGTTGCAAGGAACAAAGATGCCAGAGACACCACCACAAACATGAACCCCACAAAGGACACAAAGACTCTAATCCACATATTTCAATAATAACACTGAATGTAAATGGGCTGAATGCTCCAATCAAAGACATGAGGTAGCAGAATGGATAAAAAAAACAAAATCTATCTATATGCTGTCAACAAGAAACTCATTTTAGACTGGAAGATACCTTCAGATTAAAAGTAAGAGGATGGAGAAATATATATCATGCTACTGAAAATCAAAAGAAAGCTGGAGTAGCTGTACTTATATCAGACAAACTGGACTTTAAATTAAAGACAATAACAAGGGATGAAGAAGGGCATTACATAATAATTACAGGGTCTATCCATCAGGATGAACTAACAATCATAAATGTCTATGAACCGCATATGGAAGCACCTAAATATTTAAAACAATTAATCACAAACAGAAACAACCTTATAGATAAGAATGTGGTAGTAGCAGGGGATTTTAATATTCCGCTTACAGCAATGGATAGGTCCAGACAGAAAATCACTAAAGAAATAATAGACTTGAAGACACATTGGACCAGATGGATCTGACGGTTATATTTAGAACTTTACATCCTGAGGCCAGGGAATTTACTTTCTTCTCAAGTGCACATGGCACATTCTCCAAGGTAGATCACATACTGGGACGTAAAGCAGCCCTCAATAAATATAAAAGAATTGAGATCATACCATGCACACTGTCAGATCATAATGCTTTGAAACTTGAAAACAATCACAGGGAGAAGTCTGGAAAACCTCCAAAAACATGGAGGTTAAAGAATATCCTACTATAGAATGAATGAGCCTATCAGGCAATTAGAGAAGTAATTTAAAAATATATGGAAACAAATGAAAATGAAAACACTACAATCCAAACTCTATGGGATGCGGCAAAGGCAGTCCTAAGAGCAAAGTACATTGCTCTCCAGGCCTATTTCAAGAAATTAGAAAAAGCACAAGTGCAAAATCTAACAGCTCACCTAAAGGAACTAGAGGCAGAGCAACAAGAACACTCTAAACCCAATAGAAGAAGAGAAATAGTAAAAAATCAGAGCAGATATAAACAGCATAGACACCGAAGAAACAATTGAACAGATCAATGAAACCAAGAGTTGGTTTTTTGAAAAAGTAAACAAAATTGAAAAACCTCTAGCCAGGCTTCTCAAAAGAAAAGATAGAGCACCTAAATAAATAAAATTATGAATGAAAATGGACTTATTACAATCAACCCTAAGAAATACAAGCAATATCAGGGAATACTATGAAAACTTTTATGCCAACAAATTGGACAACTTAGAAGAAATGGACAAATTCCTAAACACACACTCACTACCAAAATTCACACGGAAAGAAATAGAAAATCTGAACAGACCCATAATGAGTGAAGAAATCGAATCAGTGATCAAAAATCTCCCAACAAATAAGAGCCCTGGACCAGATGGCTTCCCTGGGGAATTCTACCAGACATTTAAAACAGAATTAATCCCAATTCTTCTCAAGCTATTCTAAAAAATAGAAATCGAAGGAAAACTTCCAGACTCATTTTATGAAGCCAGCATCACTTTAATTCCCAAGCCAGTCAGAGATCCAGCAAAAAAATAGAACTAGAGGCCAATATCCTTGATGAATACAGATGCAAAAATCCTCAACAGGATCCTTGCAAATCGAATCCAGCAGCACATAGAAAGAATCATCCACCAAGATCAAGTGGGATTCATTCCTGGGTTACAGGGCTGGTTCAATATTTGCAAATCAATCAATGCGATCCATCACATCAACAAAAGAAAAGATAAAAACCATATGATCCTGTCGATAGATGCAGAAAAAGCATTTGACAAAATACAGCATCCTTCTTAATAAAGACTCTAGAGAAAGTCGGGATAGAAGGAACTTACTTGAACATCATAAAAGCCATCTATGAGAAGCCCTCAGCTAACAT